TTCCAAATGTGGCCTAACCAGTGACCTGTACAATGAAATAATATCCTCTTTAAACTTGTATTCAATATTTCTGTAGATACAACCTAAAAATCCTATTTGCCCTACCACTAGCAACAGCACACTGCTTGGATGGCTTTAGAGACTGGTCAACTATAACACCAAGATCCCTTTCCTTCATAAAACTATTAAGGTTATTTCCAACCAAATTATACTTATAATTCAAATTATGATAACTCACATGCATTATCTTGCATTTATTATAATTAAAACCCATCTGCCATTTATTTGCCCAATTCACTTAATAATCTAAATCCTTTTGTAAATCAGCAGCATCCTCTTCACAGCTAGCAACACCCAAGACCTTAATATAATCTGCAAGTTTAAGTAATTTATTGACTATTCATTCATCTATGTCATTGGTGTAAATCAAAAAGAGTAAAGGTCCTAAGACTGAGCCCTGAGGTACCCCACTTGTGATATTAATCGACTTTGACTGGACTGCATTTGTAATAACCCTCTGCTTTCTTCCATCCAACCACTTTTCTATCCAATTTGCTAACTTATCTCCCACACCTATATAGATAATTATTTTTACAAGCCTTTTATGTGGCACCCTGTCAAATGCTTTCTGAAAATCCAGATACACTAAATCTACACCCTTACCCTCACCTATATAAGAGAAATAATCAAGTTGATTTGGTTATGAACCATGACATGGTAAATACAAGGTGACCGTAAAAGTCAGGTGGTCGAACCAGGACGCCATTAAACATCATGATATACCAACTCAGTCTAGGTCTAATAGTCTAATATTCAATGTAAATGGTGACAAAGTCTGAGAACATCACATCCCTCATTGATAATGTGACTGATAATGTCATTTATATTCTTCATTTAAAATATATTTAAAATTGCATTTTACATCAATGTTGGTTACATTTTCTATTTTTCCTCTAGTTACTACAGTAATAGCCAAAAGTAGATGACTAGTTTTCTTTCAAAATTTGAACTTTTAGGCAAATATGGAGCCACCTAGCAAAAAAAGAAGAAAAAAGCAAGTTAAAACAGGGACATTTGTTACATCTTGAAAGATATCACTATATAAATATGTAAGCAAGCCTTGAGAAAAGTGAGTATTATCTGTACCATTCAGTATGTCATTCCTATTACTGTTCGTTTTGCTGAACTTCGAATCAATTAAGTATCAAGCACAGTGGTATCTTAACAATCACTTCTGTAAAACAATTTAAACATACTGGTTTCAGTGCCCTATTGTTTGAGTGATTCTGGAAAATATTTTTTTTATTGTTGTTATTCATAAAATATTGAAAATGCCTGTGAGTAATTGTCTTACATCTGGTTATCAATATTATGCTTGATATTTCATGGTTTTACTAATTAACATTGTAAAATTGGTTAACTTTTATTATTCACATTCTTACCTCAGCTACTCAAAACCTATCAATATCATAAGGAACCAATAACTTACTTCTTGTGTCTTCAGTTACACAGGACTGTATGAGCTCTTCTTGGAGGTAAATAAGACCATTCACAACAACCTTGGAATCACCCGTTTTCCTAGTAATTAAGTATCTACAGACTATAGGAAAAAAATAACCTTTTTTTTAGCATAGTTACTTAATATCCTGAAGGTTAATGAACCATCTGAAATTATGAAATAAGTGGTGCATAATTCATATTAAAACATCTAATTATCTAGAAGGGTTATTTTGTTATTACTGCAATATTTTATAATACTGATATTAAGTCATGACATGTGATAATGACTCACAGTGATTACTGCTACATCTATCACACCTGTTGCAGACAATGAGTGGTTGTAGGGTTAAGAAAATTTATGGCTTATGCAACTGACTTCCATCATCTAACAGAATTTATTCAGTAAATCTACTAGATATTCACCTCCAATTTGATAGATAGTGATAAAATGGGATGTCACTAATGCTTTTTTAATTCAGCCATCTATTTTTTTGGAGTCATATATTATGCAATGTTTCCTGGAATTAGTAATACATTGTTAAAGAAAACTATTGTTATATATTTTTTATGTTTAGATATAATAGCTAAAAAGAATACTCTCTAACTGATATATAACCAATATAAAAATATATTTCTTTGAACTCTTTTTATTGAACACTAAACTGACTTTGAGAAACCAGTTTGTAGCCCTCCATTTGTAGTTCTTCTACTGGAGTCTGTGATTGATATTTACCCCATACCAGCAAGTCAAGCAAAATTCCAATAGTTGGTTCTGTTAGAGTAAACAAAGAAAAAAGATCAGATTCTAATAAACTAAAAGAAAAAAATTAACAATCTTGAAACATCACAGTGTAGTATTTTCAAATAGTACTGATTTCTTCTGAGAGTGGCAAGAAAGGTCCACAGAATAACAGGAGATTATTCAAGATAATTTTTTTATGAAATAAGTTTGTATTCACTGACTAACTGAGTCTGTGAGAAATAATGAGAGGCTGAACACAAATGTATAACACAATAAACTATTCAAACAAACGCAGTAAGAATGTATTATACTTGCCACAAAGGACAGCCACTTTTACTGAAGATTTGCAATTGAGGTCATTGTAAGATGTAGTAGAGCGATACTCAATCAGATGAAATCATATACAAACCTCTCTTGAAACTGTGTACCAGACTGAATGAATGTGTTGTTGCTAACTTAATTTATTAACATCAGAGCAACTAACGCTACCTATGTGACTTGTCATTACCACAAGATGTTACCCATCTACCAGTGGAAAAGATAACTGTCTAATTACACATAGTGCAGGTGTCCTTGTATCAGTTTTTACCATGGAAAGTAACAAAACTGGTAATAGAGCAAAAGGAACTTAATGACCTTTTTGACCAAAGTGCTATGTGGAACTGCATATATTTGCACAAATAACAAATATTGTGCTTATATACCACAATATTTAACATTTACAAAGGTAATTCAAATAAATAAATAAGTGATGAAATATTATCACTCACCTGATTCTACATACAAAATTTAAATATAACATTTGTTATATATATATATATATATATCATTTGTATGTTTCTGGTATTTATGAGGAAATGTATAATTATATATATATTATATACATCTAATGTTAAATCTCTCTACAATATTACAAACTTATATTTCACATGAACATTTTGTAAATTTATTGTCACATAACATAGAAAAGGAACAACTGGCTGAACCAAGAAAGCTTAAAGGAACACCGTCCTCCTGTGTTGGTATTTAATGAATTGTTTAGTTTAGTAGGTGTTAATAAAAAGTGGTATCCTTAGTCACTGGTCTTCTTAGACCAGGAAAATATACTAGACCAAGTGTGGTTTTGGTATAAATTGAGTATGTAACTAGCTTACATACAAAGTGCATTGCAAACATTTATTTACAATATAAAATCTACAGCTATTTAGTCAAAAGTCCAGAGGCACCAACATTAAACAACTCATACAAAACTCAAGCACGTGTAATCTTCCTTCAATTATTATTTCTAGACTTCAAATGTAACTTCAACTAACTTAAAAAAAAAAGAAGAATAAAATAAGAAGTTAAAATTATGTCATAGTTATAAACACTATATAGCAATAGACTAGAAATTAAAATAGATATAATTATCTTATGATTGTATAAACATTTACCTTAACATTACTCTCAGACTATACTCAACATGCTTATATAAACGTTTGTGTATGTAGGAGTGAGGGGATGCATTTGTTCTTCAGAAGGAGCTAAATACAATAAATTCTACACCAGCTTTCAAAACATCTTCAAGATTACTTTCAGTGATTTTAATTTAGAAGATTACTAAATCTTAATCCGATCCGCACTCTAAAAAATTGCCAGAAGCCAACAATAACTTTACTATTAGAATAAGACAATTAATAAAGCTACAACTTAACTGGTGTTAATTGTGCTGTACATATGAATAAGTTACACTCCACAACATCTTGATATATTATATGAGAATAGCACTCTGGTTTTCACGAAATGTAGCCAAGTAAACCCATGTAGTTACATTGAAGCAATTATATCTAAGGCCCACCAAAACCAAACTGATTCTACCTGAACATTCATAAAATATCTGAAAGGTGTCGACTATACAAACCACAATGTCATAGGTCTACTTCACGGAGTTTCTTCCACAACCAGAAAGCATATACAAGGTTCTGTCAATGTATTAGAATAAAATACTTCATGTACCTTTTAGGCAGGAAAGCAAAGATCCAAAAGCAGAACCATCAGTGCACTTGCATTTTAGAAACATACTGTTAAGCCTACTGATATTCATCATAATGACAGTCAAACTTAGCTGACTGAGTAATCTTGACATGTAGAATAATCATAGCTAAGTAGAACTTTTATGTGCCAAATAAATGAAATTAATTGGAAATAAAGAAGAAAACATACAGTAGGCATTTATAAAACAAAAGATGGATAAACTAAAACTTAGAAATATTGAAACAGATTAAAGTAGAACACTAAATAGGTAGAATGAATCAGAAGGAAAGAAAATTGAAAGTCACAATAGAGTAAACAGATCAATATAACAGAAAATTACAGAGAAAAGTCACAGTTGAATAAAACATGGATAAAGCGTCACAATAGCAAAGACATTGCAGCTTTCTGAGGGTAGAGTTGGAGAGATTGTCACATAAAGATACCTGAGAGAATGCAGTAGTGAGAAAGCAGAGTCAATGAGTTAAGATAATGCAGAAGTCAAAAGGTAGAGTCATGCCCAGTAAGAAAAGAGATAGGAGCTGTGGCACTAGACATTTTGAATCAACAGTCACAAAAAGAACTGTTGAACTATATACAGTAATACCCTGTTTAGTGCTCAGTAAGGGTACCTGAAAACAAAGCTCTAAACAAGCTCATTTTAACATTACATATATATGGAGATATGTAATTGAAGGCATTGTTTCTTACCTGTGAATGATATACAAGTGCTTTATTTAGGTACTGGTAAATTTAAAATATATTACTCACTATAACATTGTCATCGCTGGAAAAAAGCTAATTTTTATTAGCCTTCAATCTTGTTTGGTTACAGAGCCATCAAATAGAAAATCAAACACCTCCTACCACATCCTCTCTTTCAAGATTTGTCAATACATGTAGCTCTCTTACGTTTACGACCATATTAGTTATAACCAATAGACAGGCAAGGTTTTTGTTTATCAAATAATGTGTTATGTCACATCGTTTTCTGTACATAGATTTTTAGATCGCTACCTAAGAAAACGTTTTTTTACCATGGGAACGATATGGTGTTGATGGATGACATTTAACGGTTCGTATTGTGTCACTAGAAATGCCAGAAAAATTGTGATAGTTATGGGACATTGTCTGCTTTTTGTATGTTATTATTCTATGCTTTTTGTTGCATTATTTAATGCACTGCTACCATTAGTAAGAAAAAGTTGTGTTCAGAGAGTTATGGATTTTCATAATTCTTTTTCTCTCTCGTGAAAAAAAAAAAATCTGAAGGAGACAAGAGTTCTATACCGAATTAGCTTAAAGTGAGGTGGTGCTAAGTGGGGTCTTACTGTATATGTCATCTATTCTCTTTTATCATACCATGAAAGTTTGTTCAACCTCTCTTCAAACATTTACCTCAATTTACACTCAGTTATAACCATTTGTACTATATTTTGATAAACAGTGTATCTACGTAATAAAACAAGTGTAAATCAAGATGTCACATTTGCCAGCAGCATTTTAAAAACAAACATCTGCAAGTGTCATAATTCAAGTAAAAACTTTAATCAGAGATTAATGAGCTAATTTTTATTACATATTTGAGAACAGTTTCCTTGTCAGATTTTGTATAAAATCTGAACCACATTGATCTGAAAGTATGTTTGATATGCATGTATAGCACTAATACAAAATATACATACATTTAGGATGGTGGAAGTAACTAAGTATAGATAGAGAGTATTTTTATTACAATAGGGTTAAGATTATAGCCATGAAATTGTAATTCGAGGTCTCACTATTTCAGAACTCTTGTATATTATATAACTTTAGATTTAACATAAACTTACCGTGATGCTGGTCTTCAGTCAGGTACAAAAGTAGTTTATAAAGGATACCAGGAAGATGGATGATTAATGTATGCATCAGCTGTTCCCACTGTTTTATAATATCAGCCTGCATGTCCTGCAAAAAAATATACACTTCTTGAAATTTTAATATGTATTAAAATACACCCTTGAATCCTCTCTTGTAGGTGTTAGTTCTTTTCCATTACTTATTACAAATAAGCTCATAATTTCCAATAATCAGTGGCACTAACATGATTTTGTACTTCGTGGAAGAAAAAAAATAACGCTGCCATGTCAGTGGAAGTCACAATGTAGATAATTTAAAAAATCTTAAAAGACTATACTTCAGCTGAGGGACTGATAAGAGACAGAGTTCTCCAATGGGGGAGGGAGGATGTCCCCCACACCACCTTGGTGAAAACGCCCTTATTCCGATATCCAGTTCTTGCAAAAATGACACACTATGTAGAAATATGTCAATCATAACAATAGAGGAAGAAAAAAACTTGACATGTACAAAAATATTTTAAATCATATGTTTTAGTTATACATGTCTAACAGATCCAAAATATGAAAGCATATTTCTAACGTAATTAAAAACGTTTTGCAAAAACTGGAAAAAACATTTGTTAATGTTTGAATGTTTAAAAAAAAATCAGTAGACTCAAATTAATAAAACTGTTATCTTTAATTCATATAATCTATAGGCCTTAATATATAAAACTGTACAACTTAACTCATAATCAGGGATCTCGTACTTTGTTTATATCATCACAAGTACTCACTACACTCTATAACCTGTATGGTTAATCTAACATGAATTTTTAAAACTTTTAAATTCTTTTGGTTGTTAAATAAGACTACAAAAACTATACTTGAAACTTATCCATGAGTTGGTTTCAACATGAAAGATATTACAGTTACTGAAGTATTTAAACATTACTGACGGTTGTAGAAATTTACCTCATTTTCAGGTGGAAGTTTCAGGAACCTAGCTATTCTAGTTACCATCTCAAGTGAGTCACTTACAAGTAGTTTCTAAAAATCAGAAATTTTTGGTAATCAATATGAGAAAAAACTCAAAGAAATTATTCTCAAGCATTTCTGTTTTCATCAAATAAAACTGTGCAAATTTATTTAGTCAATTGGATCATTCTAGAAGTTTTAGGTTACCTGAGAAATATTTTCACACAGACAACTAATTACTGGTATCTAGCAACAGTTGTCTGACAAAATCAAAATACTATGATAGCATATAAGTCAAAAGTTGCCCAAAATTAGTTTTAACAATTTATATTTCTTTCTCTAATATCTATCTATATGTATGTGTATATTTATATATATAGTTTAAAGTTTTTTATATTATTAATACATGACAATAAGTTTGTAAACACAGCTGTTTATAATTTTTGGATTTCAGTCTTTTTATGTATATAACTAAATATAAACGTTTCTATATCCTGCCTAATATAATTCAAAAATTGTAGTTTATATTCAACTCTTTATTTAGTATATTACCTACTAAAAAATAAATTTACATACATAACAACAATCATTTTATGTAGACACAACATTACTGACATTTTATCCATGTGTTTAAGAAACTTGATTTTCTGGTTTTTAAAATGTCAATTTTCATCCAAGTAAAGAAAATATTATAAATTCATAAAAACATACAATATACTTAAAAATATGTATCAAAACCATATTAACATTTGTGAAAAGCCTACCAGAAATGTCTCACTTGCAATTAAGTTGGTGTTAAGCAATCTAACTAAAATGCAGGCTTCTCTGTCATCCTTGAGTGACATTTCACATACTGACAACCACTGCTGAATCTTAAAAATAAGGTTAAAAATTTAGCAATTTTCTGAGTGTCAAAATGAAAGTAAACAAAACTAATTATAAAAAAATAGATGATAGAGTTGAGAACAATATCATTGTACGCTCTTATACTTTGACAGTTTAACTATTTTGACATACATGTGCATCAGTTTCAGTTTGTGATTTTTGTTTTACTGTTAATTGTAAATAAAATATTATAAAGTACTTTCTCGTGGATTTTATGTGATCACTTTATGTTATATAAAACTATCATATAATCTGCTGTTATTTAACATAATTAACTTATCAATAGCTTAAAATATCCTACCTAAATATTAAAAGAACGTTCTGTTAGATATTTAAGATTAATATTTCTTAATATAAAATTTCAAATGTATATTACTCTGATACTTTGAATGTTAAACTTCTTCCAGTAATCACTGCAACGACTACTCTGTTGTGGATAACAATGTAGGAAATAGAATGCTCAATAGATTGTTTATAACAATTTTAACATAATGATTATATTTTAATACCTGATAATGTAAACAGTTTTGACTGGTATCTCCCTAAAACAAAAACATTTATATAAAAAAGCTCTTTGAATTAGTAGTCTACCCTGTTTTTATGGTAGCTGTAAGCCAGTATATATTTTTTATATAATCTTTACAGTTCAGAAAATATAGCTTTAAGTAGAAGGCTTTATATAAAAAAAATTGATATGAAATTTGTCAATATAACTTTCAGAAAACTGCTTTAAGAGAAATTAATTTTATCTGATTACTTTACATAGACCAACTTTGGTTAGCATGATTACCATAATCCTGTAGTAACCCACTTTCTTAATTTCTGTGCCTGGCATGGCCAGGTAGTTAAGGCACTTGACTCGCAATCTGAGGGTCGCGAGTTCGATTCCCCATCCCACCAAACATGCTCGCCCTTTCAGCTGTGGGGGTGTTATAATGTGACAGTTAATCCCACTAGTCTTCCCTCTAGTCTTACACTGCTGAATTAGGGACGGCTAGTGTAGATAGTCCTTGTGTAGCTTTGCGCAAAACTCAAAACAAACAAACAAACATTCTTCATTTCTGGCAAGCAGGAATGAACTCGAAACCTCTTGCATGGCAAGCAAATGCTTTATTAAAGCTATTAAAGGATTAATCCACTATGTATTGCCAGTAAATAACTTTCTAATAACTCACACTACAACAATCCATAATTCATGTGTTATAAGGTTATTTCTATACTCTCAAAAATCATTAAATCTATAAATATAACTCGTGCTGTGCAACTATAAAACATACAAAAGTCTCCAAAAACTGACCACATATATTCCCATAACACTAGCATGTGCCTCTGATGTGAAACTCCACACGAGAATGGACTGATTATGAGTGTAGATTGACTCTAACGAAGTCAGATGAGACAGTGATTGTAGAACTACAGTATTGGCTGTATTACACAAACAAGGAAAGAAACAGAAAGATTTAAAACACAAATAATATAATGAAACACATCAAACTGCACATTTCTTACAAGAAATAATCAGAAATTGAAGCTAGAATTAAACATGAACATACAAATAAACACCAAATTATTGTTTTATAATATATGTTCATCAATACAAATAAACACCAAAGTCTTGTTTTATAATATATGTTCATTAAGTTTACAATTACAGCTAACAATTTTTCAATGATTTTTAGGATGTATGAGGAGTCATGTAATTATGCATACCAGTTAATATATTTATAATTTAAGCCTTTTTTTTTCTGGAAGAAGTATAAACAACTACTGTAATACATATATTTTATGCCCACTTGTTGACTTCTTATTAAATATTAAATACTATATTCAAGAAGAAATTGCAACAAAGCTCATACAGTTTACACAAAATAAATTACTAACACCATATATAATGCACGAATGAAATTGAAAATAGATTTAAAAATATGATATTTGAAGCTACTATACCATTTTTATGTTGTAAACACAAGTTATATAAACAAGTAATTCTATTTGAGATGTTTTTTAATTCCTACCATTTTCTAGACTTTGAAAACAATGATCTTCTACTTCCCTAGTATGATTAGTCACAATCTTGATAGGGGGGAAAAAGTGCAATCAGAATACACATTTTTTTCAATGAAGTAAATTAAAGACTATGTTAACTTTTCTCTAGAATCAAGAAAATAGCCATAAGTATTCCTGAAAGTAAATATGCAAGGTTTCTCTTTAATCATGTAAAAAATTTACAAATACACATTACCTAAAACAGAAACAATAGAAGTTTTGTATTGTAAAGAATTTAAAAAAAACTTCCACCTAAAATATCCTGCCGAAAGATTACAACTGTTTACTACATATAACATAAAAAATTTGTATTACTGCTTAATTAATATGCATAATGTACACACGACATATTTCCTGTTATAATATGAAACTTGTTTGTAAATCTACAAGGAAAATTTTGAAGCTAGATCAGGGATTGTTTGGTAGTTCACTAGTTTCTACAACTTCTGTATCCAGCATTGCTTTGTTGCATTAAAATGCTATGTCAACTTTATGCAACATTATATATTTTGTTATTTTTTAGACCAGATGATTAATTAATTAATTTTAATTAAAACATTTTTTAGTTGTAACTAGTTTATCTTGGTGAAAAATGTTTAGAAGTTTTTATAAATTAGCCAAAACTAATATGATTAACTTTTGTTAGTTTGTAGTCAAGCATAAAACTAAATAATATATGGCCTACAGAGTGCATAATTCTTCTCATGATTCATACCATGCACATGTTTTACTGACATCATGAAAGTACAAATTGCAACATTAAGCCAGGGCCGGCACTACCATTAGGCCAACTAGGCAGCCGCCAAGGGCGCAGACCTCAGAGGAACGCAGTACTAACCTTTAAGGGTCACAGTTTTATACAAATTATTTGTTTTAAGAAAAAACATAATAAAAGGAAAATATAATAGTTCGTTGTTCATAATAGTTTATAGTTCAATGATAGTTCATAACCAGTTTATTGTTTTCAAGGGTGCAAGTAGCTGGCCATGCCTATGGTGCAAAATAGTCTGGCACCGGGCCTGCACTAAGCATCCTTTACGTGATGTCATTTTAGTGTCTACTGACTAACAGAAAACACACTACTGTAAAGTGGTGCAAGTGGTTAAAACAGGTGACCCCTCCATACAACTTTTGGCCCTCTTTTGGGGGAATCTATGGAAGGATTATCAGTAAGCTAAACCTATATTTTATTTGAATTTTATGTAGATAGCAAAATTAAATAAATGTGTGTTATTTTCAAATAATAGACTTGAATTTTTATAGTATACACGTTATAAAGCCACCAGTAGCTCAGCATAAGTCTGAAGACTTGTAATGCTACAAACAGGATTCAATATCCATGGTGGGCATAGCACAGATAGCCCATTGTATATTTTTGTCCCTAAGAACAAACAAGAAAAAAACATTATAAATCATTACATATGCAGGTAAGACATTTTAATATCTACAAATCAGTGTTACTTCTTCCTGCCCCCAGTGGCACAGCAGTATGTCTGCAGACTTACAATGCTAAAAACCAGGTTTTCGATACCCATGGTGGGCAGAGCACAGATAGCCCGTTGTGTAGCTTTATGCTTAACTTCAAACAAAACAAATATTTCTTCCATATGAGATATGGAAAGATTACAAAGCACAGAGCTCATATATGTAGCTATTCACAATAGATACAATAGATAATTTTGTACAATAATGAAGAGCATTCTGGTTTGCTTCTTCTCTTTAAAATTAACAATCAGGTGTTTTTTTTTATCTTTTTTAATGAATAGTTTCTTCATGATTGCTCTCTCCTGAATATTCTTTTAGTGGTATAAATCAGATTTGTTCTCTGACCATATAGATATACCCTTCATGAAAAATGCTTAAGCATACCATACACACACATACAATATTAGTTCATGCTCGAAATATTTGCACAATTCTGGGAAGAATAATTTCGAGCTCATTGCTGGGTTAAAGTTTACCAGTTCTATAAACTATAGTTTTGTTTAAGTTAGGGTATTAAAACTCAGTGAAAGTGAGAAGCATTCCTTTTTACTCAGTGTAAAATATATTTTTGTTTTGGGAAAGAAGAGTGACTGCAATAATAAAAACGTTTGGAAAACACGTCTGTTATGTTTCTTCCATTACATGATTTACATCAAGTTAATATATAATATATAAACAGCCTTAAAGCTTCAAATGAATATTTTGATGATTAAATCAACGGAAGTGTTTACAACTCAATCCTGTTTGTTTGCCCTTCATCTGAATCTTTAAGACATATTATAAAAACCATGTATTTATTTTTATTATTGATACGAGAAAACAAAATATTTTTATGAACAGTAAAAAAATATATAAAAACAATATACTCACAGCCAAAAGAAGAACAAGGTGTTTTAGGGAGGTCACAGGGAGCAACATCAGGTCAGAATTCAAATTAACAAAAGACACGAGATGGGGAAGAAGAGTGGGTGCAGGAACAAGGCTTTTCAATCATTTAAATAAAAACTTTATATGGTTTAATTACTTCCTTAATGGAAAAAGTGAGAGTTTAAGAAACAGAACTAAAATTACTAAGTTATTTCTTAAATGAATATTTATGTAAAGAATCTGAGTGGTTTAGCAATCCAGTTATTTCTCAGTTATACACACACACATATAAGATGACAATTTAAATCTAATGAATTACTTTGCCAATCCATGAACAAGGACCAGGGAATAAAAATGGTATTCAAAGTGTTTTTGCCCTTACTTTAGTGAATTAAATGTTACATTATGTCATAGACCTATCAAGTAATCTTCAAAAAAATATTCAGAGATGTTCTTGTAAAGTTGGATTACCATTATCGAAACTAAAGGTATAACCACATTATGAGGATCAATCACTATTGTGTGGAAAAGTATTCACTGATACTAACATTGTATCATCAGTTATGATGTCTTCTTGGGAAGAAACAAAAATGCAAAATAATAATCAACAAAATAAATTAAAAGGTTTAAAACAAATGTCGAAGAAAACTTTCATTTTTATATTTTTGGAATTGAAATGAATTTCTAGCAGGTACTTATCTCTGAAATACAATAAGTCTTTTCAAGTTGAGTCACTCTCTCTCTTTGTCATTAACTATGTGACTTTTGGTTCTGAATGACCTTAATGCAATTTATTACATGTGTCATCTTACCCTAAGTTCTGTTGTAAAGGCAGTAAATTTAAGTGAGTTTTAAAAAAAAGCTTGAGAAGTATATGAAAGATAAGGGCTGGCTTTAAGATTTTTTTAAAATTATTTTAATTTAGTTTAGAGTATGGAACAGCCGAGATAGACCAATAGGTCCCATGTTGTCCCAAAACATTATGTTATATGTTACGTTACGTTAAAATAGGGTATGTAGTCAATCTAAGGTGTGTAACAAAAAAGGTTTTCAAAGAGATTGAGTTATTTTTTTAAGTTCAATAAATTACCACTCACCTTATTTCAACCTATTTATGGTTTTATAAGTATAACTAAACTGTACAATATCCCACTTAAGAATAAGCATTTTCATTTAATTACACACTCTGTATGGATTTTTACATGTCATTGTTATAAACAATTTATACAAAAATACTGTTATAGTTTTTGCTACTTATTCTGCTATATCCTAACCTTTCAATAGAATTTGTCTTAAACTTCCACAGCATACTTTGTAGGTAGTAAAAGGATTGTAAATCAATTTTTCTGAAGTGAAATTAGTATGTATAGTGCTTTGTTTAAGTAGTTACAAATATATTTGTACCTAGTCGTTTGTCATGAATATAGCTGAAGTTGAGACAGTAACTCAGTTAAGTTTGGTGCATTTACAATTACAAACACAAAAAAAACAGGAAACTTTTTAGAAAAATATTGAAATAAAGTTTTGTTATTCATCACTTCAATATGAAAAATTATAACAAATCACGTGGGAATTTGTTAAAACGTGTATATAACTGTTTATACGAAATCCATATGACATATTTAAAGAAAAGATTATCATAAATATGATCAAACACCACAACTGAAATAACAAAATACAGATACAGTAAGAAAAATGTCTAACCTTTCACTATGCATGCAGCAGCAGTAAAGCATAAATAAAATAGTGACTTGGCTGTAAGCAGTTTTATTTTCTAGCTCTTCACCAACAGCATGATTCCTTTGTGAGAGGAGAGTCAGGATTTCATCTAGAGTTGCTACAAGTTAAGTTCAAGAAAGAAACATTAGGTGTGATAGAAGATAAGGAAGAAAAATACATTTTATGAATCTTTATATCTTTATACCCTTCCATCACCAGTTTTCTCTGGTGAAATAAAAAATAAATCTTTCATTGGTGTTTGGGTATTTGTAACACTAACCTATATGTAGTTTTATGTTATTATTTTAAGCAATGGCTACAATTATATCAATGGTGACATAAATATCTAAACAGTCTCGCTACACAATAAAATAGCCAATTCTGTGCAGAAAATGTTCCTTCTCATTCATTCAACCACTGACAAAGTAAACTTACTACCCATGAAGTCTACACCCATACTCAGCATCTTCAAGAAATTCTCATTCGTCACATTTTCTTTTGCTGCCAACCACTGGAGATAGTGCTTCAGAAATATGTTACTTGTTATAACAGTAGGTGTCACACTAAAACAATATAAAAGCATTCTATATAGATGCAGTGTTATTTACTGCTGTATTATACTATTAGTAACAATCCTTAATTACCCATGTTAACATTGAATATTCTGTCTTTCTATTATTCAATCCAAATCTCTATCTCAACTGAAATGATAAGGCTGATTATATGGATACATTTAATAGACTACACAGAAATTTTGATTAGAAATTACATTGGATACAATGAAAAATTAAATTTCATTTGTAATCTGCAGTTCACTGACGTAAATGTAAATCAGTATAACAGTAAATATGCAATTACAGTTTTTTTGAAAACTCAATTAAGACATAAGTTAGTAACACAATATGGGATTCAAAATATTAAAAAATGTATGAAACAAAAACTACAAAAAATTACTCTTCAGTTTACAGTTAGTTCTAGCAATATAAAACTTGAGAGTTATACAACAAAAGTTTGGAGTTTTCTTGCTATATTGAGCACAGCACAGATACTCCATTTTTCAGCTTTGTGCTTAACAATAAATACAAATATCTATCATCATAAGTTCCTGAGTTTTCTATCTACACATTGATAAAGTTATGTAAATCTTCAAAATTATCATCCGTTGAAATAAACATGTTTCAAATTAATTATACACTCAATATCGCACACCCTTCTTTATAAAATAAAATAATTAGATAACATCCAATTTTTTATAAGAACCTGACATCACTGTGAGGTAGCAACTTTCTGAAACTCCACAAAGAGTTCAAGAATCCACATTTAAGAAGTTTTTCAAACAAATCCCCGACCTGAGGTATGACCAGAAACTTATCCACTTGGTTCAGTGTTGTTATTATCGAACATACTGAAGACAAAACTTCACCCCCACCTGAAGTAGTAGCATGAAACTGTGAAGGGGAAATAATATTCATTATAAAATTTGACTGAATAGCACAGTGTTACAAAAATGACTTTTTCAACTTTTTTTAACCGTGTCACAATTTAATTATATTTACTTAATTAATATTAAAAAAAAATCAAAGAAAAACTTACAGTATTTAATTTGGAAGTATTTTATTACCTATCTGATAAATTAACTCGTAATATGTTTGTCAGTCATATTAAATATATTCACATTACTTTCTAGGGTTTAGATCAATATTTTGTAATGTTTATATGTATTTACAAACATACACACACATATATATATATATATATATATTGTAGAAACAAATCCCCAAATTATTCAAACAAAATAATTACCATGGCTAAGGGAATGAAACATTCATCCATGATTTCCACAAGGAACAAGACTAAATTTCTGATGTCTTCACCCTGGTTAGTGTTTTCATGTGCTGACTTTAAAGCTGGTGTGGCTGGGGAACAAAATGTTGCTTCTTGCAAAACTGGTAATTGCAAGCTTTCTAGAATTAGTCTGGAAATAAGGCAGGTTTTGAATTTACCTTAGTACTAAGGTAAAAAGGCAATTGATATTTAAAATACCATACTAATATACATTTTGTAGCATTATCAAAACCACTGCCGTAGGAAGCAATTTTGGAGTGGTCAGGCCATTGCCGCAGTTAAACAATGTGAAACATGCTGTGTACAAAGCATGCCATTTCTAGGAGGGTCTGGAAGCATGCCCCTCCAAAAAAAAGTTTTGAAAATTTAATGCTATGAGGTTGAACCACGAGCTGCATACACATTATGTAATGTATTGAATTAAAAGAAGTGAGTTTTAATACATAAGTTGTAGATATACATGCTATGAAAACGTGGTCGGACTATGGCCCAACTGCTCTTATCACTTCCTACAGCCCTGAAAATATTTGTAAGCTTTACTAGGGTAGAAATATCTAACATTACATTTTGTGAAACAAACATTCGCACCAAAATTATCTCTTTGTTTACTTGAGAATTTCAAGCATGATCAAATTTACAATAAAAATAAGAGAAATGTAGAAAATATTCAGTTTTAATTTACAAAACAATGGAGAAAATTCTCATCGTTGCCATTTTTTTAAATGTAGTGTCTGAGAGATGTTCAGTTATAAGTATTCTAAAAATATGCCATATCTTGTTAGAGTGTTTTATGACTGGTGTAGTCATGTGGACATAAAGAAAACAAACCAAGATAAAAGCAGTATATAAAATGTATGTTAATTTCATAAGTCAAGTTTTTATGATTATTCAACAATACTTGATGCATACAGAATGGCTTAGAGTTAATTTATAGATTTGGTTTCTCTTTATGGATTAATGAATAACCATTAAAACAATTAAAAACGTTACAATACATTTGATTCTTTAATTTATATCTATTCTACCTATAGAGTATAACTTAATTGGTATAATTCTCATAATTAATGCAGGTGTTGTGATAATAAGATCAGTGATTATTGGACAGTATTCTATTTTAAGTGATAAAATGTAAATTACGTATTTTACGATACATTCTGACAGATTCTTTAAAGATATCATAAACTTTACAGGTATACATGTCCTAGAAGTTCACACACATATAATTATGTTTCACATACCAAACCTGTTCAGTAGAAACAAACAACAGATAAATTGATCCTGTATCAATGATACCTGTTTACAAAACACTGTGAAAATCTAGTTTCCATGGCTTTTTTTTTTCATTTTGTATTTTCTCTCAAGTTAATGAAAACTAATGAACATTTTACCATACATGTGAAACTAACATACTTCATACATGCCTCTATTGCACCTAGAGAAAAACATGTGAAACTAACATACTTCATACATGCCTCTATTGCACCTAGAGAAAAACATGTGAAACTAACATACCTCATATATGCCTCTATTGCATCTAGAGAAACACATGTGAAATTAACATACCTCTATTGCACCTAGAGAAACACATGTGAAAACTAACATACCTCATACATGCCTCCATTGCACCTAGAGAAACAAATATGAAAACTAACATGCCTCTATTGCACCTAGTGAAACACATGTGAAAAATAAATTACCTCATACATGTCTCTATTGCACCTAGAGAAACACATGTGAAAACTAACATGCCTCTATTGCACCTAGTGAAACACATGTGAAAACTAACATACCTCATACATGCCTCTATTGCACCTAGAGAAACACATGTGAAAACTAACATGCCTCTATTGCACCTAGTGAAACACATGTGAAAACTAACATACCTCATACATGCCTCTATTGCACCTAGAGAAACAATTTGATGTTTTATTTTAGAGTTTTTAGCTGTAGATATTTGATTGGAAATTAAACTCTTGTTTTTCGTTATCTTCACACCACTAGTGTCCAAAGAAATAAATCTGAGCATGGAATTCAGGCAGGCTAATAGAATAGAATGAATCTGACTGATAGGCAGGGGAATGGGTAAATTGTCTTTCCTGGAACATATAAAAAAAGTTCAATTGATATTATTCATAACAACAAAATATTGATATGTTTGGTAAAAAAAATCTTACTTTAAACTTATAAACTAACAAGATAAGGTATCTTATTTTATATCCACAAGTAATGCCAATTTTGATCTGGACTTTAGTTTTCAAAGGGTTAATTATGGAAAACATTCAGACTGTTAACTGTCTTGAAAAAGCTTGTGTGAAATATATTATTGGCTAAAAAAGTCTTAAGATATCTACGCAACTGTATGATTTTAATGCTAATAACTCCTGAAAAATCATTTAAACATGAGCCTTGATGTATCCACATAATAGTGTGACTGATAGAGATATCATCAACTAGAAAAATAATTCTTCAAACTGCAAGCAGTGCTTAATCTCTCAAACCTTTATACTTGTATGACGATTGATGATAACTGAAAGCCAGGTTTTCTCAATTAATATTAAATTTTAATAAATTGTACATACATGGAAGTTTATTAGAAGACCATATTTTTTTTGTAGAAATTTATCCTAAAAAATGGAAACATATAAAATACAACAATTTCTAATAAAACTTTTAAGTATATGTGACTAAGATCGTGTAAATATAAATATATATTAGAAACAATAAACCAAAGCTTCTCACACTTTCCATACAGATAAACCAAGTTAAAATAATATATATTATACTTTGTTTGAAAATATCCCCTACATAAAAATAATACACTAAAATTCTGAAGGATGTTTTTTTACCAGTGTTGTTTCCTTATTTAACACCTACAATTAACAGAAGTCAGAGATGTATATATATATTTCAGACTTGTTATTAAAACATACCAAAAGAATGCTATCCTACTGTACAAATTGTATTAACTCACCTGAACAATGAGCTTAACGTTCCTGTAGCCTCAACAAGAACACTGGTGTTGAGAGTCTTGAATGCCTTTTCCAGTAAGTTATACATTTGTTTGAAAATGGACATACTAACTGTCAGTGACTGAGAGATTGACTGTCTATTGGTTAAGAAAAAAACAGTATTTGTGATATCATGTCAAACAGAGAGTTTTTTGAAGTTAATTCAGGACTGACAAATGAATTACATATTTTTTTTTAACTTGATCATTTAAGATAGATATTAAAAAGTTTAAAATTATACATTCACTTGCACACAGTTAAGGTAGCTAGAGTTTCACTCCTTCAAAATGCTCTTCATTTGTTCAACAGTCAAGATCCCACACTATATGATTTCATCTAGGTACAGAAACAAACACAAAAAGCTATATGTATCTCATGAAATAACCTAACTCACTAACAATAAATGAAACATTAAACTCTGTTAAATGGGCTTATCAACTCTTGAATCTCCGAAGCACTAAACCTTATATTGCTCTGAATTCCTCATATACAACTTTTAGCATTAAAAAAGGTTAGTTTCCAGGAATGTGATCTGCTGGGTTCATCACTTAATTTTCATATTCATTTACAAACAGCTC